TTGCTGTTAGAGATGTAGATCAGGCCATCATCTCTCTAAAGGCCCACTTGTTTAGGGTCGAAAATTCTACTAACAATGTCCAGTATGTAGATACCTACTAGATCTGCAATTTGAGATGAGTCATGTACTCCCATGAGAACGTCGAAATTATCATATTTTTCTTTTAACCCAAGTAGAGTTGATGTACACTAATAGAGTTTGTCTAACGGCTAAGATAACTGCAGATTCATCATCAGTGATGCCAATAGGTTTTTTTTCGTAAATTCTAAACTTTTCAGTAGTAGCTTTTTTTAAATGGATGGGTTGATATCGATTTGTATGAAGGTGACTTTCTTTTTTTTTAATACCTGGAGCCATTTTATAGTATCTAAAGTTTTTTCCAAAGATTGCTATAGTGGTTTTCCTGTATTTTTAGGGTTATTTGTTTAGTATAGCCTTAGAAATTAGGCCTAATTCCGTCTTAGAGTGATTGATTAACCGTGATTGCAGATTATTTTCGAAGGTTTGTGGTCCTTGAGAAGTAGGTATACATTTTTAATGCGAGTCTTTTGCATTCTAACTGCAACACTGAAGTTGATAAAGAACGCGATATTTTCGTTAAGTGAGGAAATAGTGCTATCGGCATCCCTTTTGTAATTACTACTTATCTTATTGAGAAGGAGTTTATGGTAGTTTGAAGGTTCAATCTTGTGAATTGTCAGCATTAAACCACATTTTTAGAAAGTTTTTGATGCTTTTGATGTCTAGTCTTAGTTTTTGTTGGAATTGATTGGATCTTTTTCTAAGCTTTTTTTTATTAATTAGGTTGATCATATCAGTTTCGAAAGGTTCAAGGAGCTTACTAGTAGAAAACATTTATAAAATAATTGATATAAAGTACTTGGATTAGAAAATACGGTGCCATTTTTTATCCTTAAAGAATTTCATCCTCAGATCAAGAAACGGGACAACATAAGCAGACACAATATGTTTATATTATTCAATAAAACATGCTTGAATGTAAATATGCGGCTTAAGTATATATATATATATATATGCGTGTGTGTGTGTTTCTGCGTGTGTTTCTGTGTGTCTGTGCCTATGTCGGGGTGTGTGTGTGTGTGTGTGTGTGTGTGTGTGTGTGTGTGTGTAAAACCACGAAAAATTACTATTTCGTAATGATTTCTTGTTTATTTTCATTATATTTTGGGTGATTTCACTTTTTATGTCATTTTGTTCTTTGTCAGTTTCATGTTTTTTTCGAATACTTCGTCTTCACGCATTTGGTCCCCTTTTTTAGCCTATCGCGCATTCAATTCGTGATGTCGCGTTTTGTTGTTGTTGTTGTTGTTTTTATAGTTTTTTTTCTTGCTTTTAAGTTAACGTGAGGAAAATTAAAAACTAAATTCGACACAACAAAATACAACAGAATTCAAGGCAAATAAGATGAGATAACTTAAAAGAAGGTACCCAACCCATAACTAGTTAAAAATTTAAAAAACTGACATGTGAAAAAAGTATAATTTAAAACAAAAAATAACTGACACGCCGGTTCTAGACGTGATAATTAAAAATAAATGAAAATGACATCGCCAAAAGCAACAAAATTTTTTATAAATGCTTCTGAAACTCAAAATTACTCAAACATTTGGTAATTTATGTTTGTTTTTTTACGAGAAACTAGGAAAGAAAGCAATATAGAAAATAAAATCAAAAATTATTAACAAAGAAATCTTACTGTTCTGTGACCAAACATGTATAATCGAAGAATTGCTGCTCAAACAAATCCAGTGAACACACAGAGAGAAAGAGAGAGAGAGAGAGAGAGAGAGTTATAGAGAGAGCGATGGATAAATTGTCGTTTAAATTATGCAAAAATGAAACTAATGCTGACATTTCATTTTAACAGATATATTTACCAAAATTACACAGAACGTATCTGGAAATAATAAAAAGAAAATATATTCAATAAAGTTGCCATTGTATTCAACCACGTCCTCCAGAAACTTTACAATCTCCTGCATCTATTCTGGACGATGTCCTTGTTTAATTTGGCGAATGTTGCTATAATCCTTACCTTCATTTCACCTTTGGTGTTACAAGATTTGTTGTTCTCTCGCCCAATTACGCTCCAGACATAATAAACAAGAGGTTTGCATTCTGAAGGGTAAGTTAGCCAGATGTAAGTGGTGACGGGGTCGCAGAAATTGTCTGATATCCATGACTGAGGTCTCCTGCTTTCGTGGCATAGTGCCGAGCCGTGTTCTAAGACATAGTGTATTCCAGCAGCTAATCTCTTGATTCTGGCCAACACTACCTCCTCAAGGCACGTGATATAGTCCTACGTGTTGAGTGTGAGGCCCTGTGGGAAGATGAATGAAGGCATAACGTCGCCATCACTAGCGATCACTTGAAACGCCTTTGTAATCACTATTAGACTCATCTAACTCTTTCCTGATCATCTGCATTTTCTTCTCATTGACAAACAAACACTCTGAAATGTTCGTATTGTAGCTGTGTGTGCGAATGCCATTCCGTTACCAAATTTCTAAGTGAATTGCGTCATAGAGTTCTTTTGCTCACAGACGGTGACTATTTGACCTATTATATTCTGCAGTCGACAAAACGATAAAAAGAACGCGCATTCGCAAAATTAAAAATATAAAATGGCGATAATTTACCCATCGCACCCTGCATATGAATATTATATATCGCACATAGAATCCTGATGTAAATAAAACAGTGATCGATATAATATAACAGAACAATTAAGTCAATATTAATAAATATACGAGAACGACTCGGAGTTTCATGCACAATGCAGTCTTCAGGTGCTGGGTATAGACTGACCATAACAAAATTAATATCTTATTAAAAAATATCTCATTAGCACAAAGTTGATGCAGTCCATATATTGCACCAAGATTACAGTTTGTTTTTTTTATTCTTTTTTTTTATTATATATTGCATTTAAAATAAATGGGTTTATTATTTTAAAATAAATTAAAAATATAAAAATATTGATTTTTATTTAAAGTTGTGATCATTATTTTATATTAAACGTAAACGGAGATTACTGGGTTATTTACTATTATTATTAAAATTATTATTATTATTATTATTATTATTATTATTATTATCTTGGATTTCTGTTGTATACACATTTACTTACGGGTTCCAATCAGAGACCTAAGCTGAGAAATGGCTTCATGATATTATTATTATTATTATTTTTTATTAAACCGATAGATTGAGAGAAAGGGTCAACACAGTTCTCTTAATATCACTCAAGGGGATATTATTTTGTTTGGGGCCATATTAAGTATGTTGTTCTTAACAAAAAATACGAAAAACTACAGAATACAAAGAATTTTGAAGAAAAACCAGATTTGAAATTTCCAGGAATGATTTGGAATTTGCCTTGACAAGATTGTCTCATTTTAGGATTTAATTTTACTTATTGCTTAACTGTCTATCCTTTGTATCTAATTTATGTAATTTTAAATATGGTATTTACTTTATTTATTTCCTGTCCGTATGTAAGAGCTGTATAATTCATCTCAATAATTGATGATAACTTTCAAATACTGATATGCAAGGGAACTATACTGGCTATACCGATTTGTAAGACTGGATAAATATTGTCTTAGTAAAACAACTGAAAGCATTTCACCTAGATTTTTCATGTGTTCGTGTGGGGGATTTAAATAAATATTTTTGTTAATTATTCTTTTGTTTCAATGAAAGAAAGAAATCAAAGAATGAAATTATCAAATCTTATATTAATTAACATTGTGTATGTATTTATATATTTCCTATTCCATATGTAGTGGGAAGGGAGGTAAGTCAACTTAAGTTAGTAATTACCTCTCTTAGTCGATTTAATAATCTATACAAATAAAATATCTATCTGCATTTAGACAAAACCATTTCCTGACAATGGTGAATCATTTAATTAAATAGTTCATTTTCTCCGACGTTTCTTATACTACAGTCTTATTTGTTCTAACTATTCATGTGAGGCACTCAGACAATTTTATCTCTGTGATGATTGTCTTGATTAAACTTGGTCTTGAAATAGGCTTTGTAGTCGCCATCTTTGTCACTCAGTCGGTAATCTTTCTCTTCTGAAAGTTATTTCCGTTTCATAGTTAAATTAAACTTAAAAAATGTTACAAATAATATTGAATAAAAACGATTTACATAATAGCAGGAGAGATCAATGAATCATATATACCATTGAATGCTTAAAAGATATAAAGTGAACGGATTAATAAAAAGTGGATTGAACTCTATTTTAGTTGTGAATTATTTGATTTCCAATACATTGTTTCAATTCTTTTGTTTGATTGCATCTCACTATTGAAACTTTTGAGGACCCCGGGACACGAGATATATTTTAAAGGCATTGGCAAATAGTTCCGGAATAATTGGGCTTTCATTTAATGTTTGGCAAAAGGCAGAAATTTTGGCACTCTCATATAAATGGTTCTAATACAAAAACAAGCTCCATCCGCAAACCATACGATTGTATGGACGGGATAGATTATGTCACCAGCTAATGAGATTGATGTTAAGATTAAATAGTGAATGATTATCGACCGAGTAATCGAAGGTTACCAGAAAGATTATAATTTCATTATAATATATATATATATATATATATATATATATATATATATATATATATATATATATATATTCTGAAGCTACCTCGTCATCATACTAACTACCGTTAACGTTTTATTTAGCCCCTCCTCTCGAATAAGCGGCATCTTTCTAGAGGAAATTAAAATTAGCGCCCTCTCGAATAAAGCTGCAGGTTGACTAAATAAATTTATTCAGAATCGAAATGAAGCAATTATGTGGTCAGCAGCAGCAGCTGTAGCAAACAGCAGCAGCACCAACCGCATTAACCGCCATGCCGATTATAAGTTCAGCTGATCCGGCTAACTCAGCATCCAGAAGTATCAGTAGTCGACATTGTCAATGCAAACTTCTCCAAACTAACTTCAACCTAGCATATCTTCGCATGGCATCTAAGTCTTCTCTCTGCTGCACGATATGATGACAGTCATTTTCATGACAAACTTTTGTCTTTTCCCGGCTGCATAATATTCAATAACTTAAGTTATTCTTCGCTGTACACTATGTTATCATTTTCAGGACAAATATCAGTATTTTCTCAGCTACATATTATGCAGTAGCAAACTGTCCTTTTCAGGACAAACTCAGTCTTTTCTCGCTACATTATGGACAATGTGCAACTGCCCCCTTTAGGGCACAAAGTCTTTTACCAATCCACTGTACTATTTAGGTTTCACTCCGCTTCAACCTATCTTCTCGTAGATTAGAGTGGTTTCAACCGCCTACCCTAGAATACGACCACCAATTAATACCAACTCAACGCACCGACGGACTACCGACCTTCAGTACTATCCATGATTCCCCGGTTTCATCGTCGGGCTACAATCTTTTGGTGGCTCTAGAACCAAAATTTAACTCCCATCATGATCAACCAGCGTATTTAACATTTGCTGCCTGTGCTCCTTTTTTTTTGCGAATAATAAATTTAACGCATTTTTTTTATCTAACCTAGATCTGTTCTAGTTAGCCTTAGCGTGGCCTCTGACGCTTCTTCATTTTTAATGTTTGCGGACATCCTCTAATATAGACACCTTGTCCGCGGAACAGTCTGTTCACACCTACCGATCTATTTGAACTACTGTTTATTTCTCTCTCTCTCCCTCCCCTTATCACTCTACTTTTCATTTTTATACGTATTTCAATCTTTCTGTCGTTTACATATCTGTGACTATTGTCGTTTCGCAATCCCTTTTCGTATTATCTATCTGTGCACCTATCAAACATTCGATTCCTTTTTTCATTCCACGTTATCTATCAGTCTACGAATATCGGCATCGATCTATTTAGTCAATCCCTTTTGTCGCCTCGTATGGGAACGTTTCTGTCTGTTTAAGTTTGATTTTCGAGTTCATCTCAGTGTGAACTGGCGAACACCGGATTTCGAAACATACTTGTCACTCAAGTGGCACGAGAAATTCTTAATTTCTTTATTCACCAGAGAGCTTTTTACATTCCTATTCTTGTAAAATTGGCGGAATTCGAATGAGCGATCAATGAGTCAATTACTTACATGACATCTCCCATGCAGGCACACGAACACTCACTTACAAGATAAATAGAAGCGACTATTCTCATTGAAATTGTTGTATATCGAATGGAAAATTTCCGAGTGCAAGTGCCTACTTACACGCCTCTTCACCATCACCGTCATTCGCATTTCTTTCTTAAAACATCCTTCTTTCCCACTCTCTTTATCTCGCTTACCTCCTTCCTCTTCTACTCTTCCTACTTTTTACAATCCCCATCCTTCCTAATTGGATCACGTGCGCTAGTTACATCGAAAACGTGAAAAGGCGATCGATAGGACATATTCTACTGATTGATTCTAGCCACACGTGTCTCCAAAAAATTGAAATGGATGAATAAATAAACAACTAAATGCGTAAATATAAAAAAATTAATGAAAGGAATTTTTTCCCCGTTCTTAGCTTTTAAAATAATTATCATCAGTATCATTTGAACTTGGAAATTACATTTCTATCATTCTAATTATCATCAAAGTTCTTTTGAAACAATTCAGTTCGTTTTGCTTACGGACAACTACAGTAATTGCTATAATTATTACGATAATAATTATTTATTAGTTAGACTGCAAGTAGCAGTACCAACAGTCGTAATAATTAGGCCAGCAATTTTAAATGAAAGCTCTGTTGCGATGATAATATTCGACACTTACATGTTATTACTATCATTTCACCTTCATTTCATCCCAATTAAATATTATACACGTGCTCTGATAGACGTCAGTCTTGCTTCACCAGAAGTCAATTCTTTTTATATATACCTGTTCTACTTTTATTATTATAATTTTTATTATTTGTGTAAGTTCTGTTTCCTGTTTTGTATCCTGTAGAGCCGGGTTCAAATTATGGTCCTTAGACCCTATAGGAGAATTGTTATTTGATAGCACTTTTCTTAGTATATTGGATGTTACTAATAGGGCGATCTTCTGGGCAACTTGTAAGTTGATGTTACCTAAGACACTGTTAGTAAAATTGTCCATTCCTTTTCTCTCGATCTTCAGGACCTTGTATTTGGACAATTTCTAGAAAATTTTATGAAGGTGTTTCTCTCAGATGGTACTGCTAGATCAATAAGCATACACTTCCTGGATTCCTTCTTCTTCATGATATTATCAAGTGTTTTGGCTTTTATTTCGCTGTAAGTTTGAATTGGCATGTCCCAGAGGATAGTTACATCGTTCTTTTGTCTAGTTGATGCCTATGCCATCTATCAGTTTCGATTTTTTGTTTCTTTATCTTCCAGTACAATATGACGCTACATTGTTATTTCTGTGGGTATATTAATCTTTTGCTAGTTCCGGACATCCTGAAATAATATGGTCGACTGTTTCATCAAAATTTCAGCAGATTCTCGATTGCTGGTTATTCATGGTTATTTCTTGATTATGTGACACTGACAAGATCAGGTTGGTTTTCCTTTGGTCCTGAGCTGCAATAATTAGACTTCTTGTCTCAGCTTTCGACCCGATGCTCCTCTGCTAATGATGCATTTTCTGTTCCTCCACATTTGCTTCTTTCGTGCATTGTATTATTATTATTGTTATTGTTGTTGTTGCGCGAGAGCAAAACACGTCAGCAAAGTCAACATTACAAATATAACGATGATGCTATTCACATTGAGCCAAGGTATAAAAGTCAGGTACCGCACTGACAAATACGTTGACATGTTTTGATTAAAGCATCACATACACTTGCAAATGAGGCCCAGTTAGAAATGCCTTCAGGTTGACTAAACCCCAGTTTCCTTAGATGGTCCCCGACTGAAGGTGTTTCCCAGTATCTAATGCGACTGCCACTACCCACGCTCATGAACAGGGATGCAAAATCCGTCAAACTCTTGGGGACCCACCCAACTGGTTGTAGTCAGGCAACTGACAGACAAATGTGAAATACTGAACGTGATATTTACTGTAGCCCATATATATTCACCGGAAGAAAACATGCAAAGTTTAACCTCTTTTTTCAATTATTATTATTATTATTATTATTATTATTATTATTATTATCACGTTTTGCTTTTACTTTGTGCTGAACCGTGAAGCCTCAAGTAGAGATTTCTTGAAACAAGATTTTTTTTTAAACAAGAAGATGCCCAGAGACAAGGTATCATGCAAGTAGAACTACAATTATGGTTACTGCAAGAGACTGAAATCAATGGCAAATATAACCACTTTTTGGAATTCAAATATTCTAGGTGTTCAAAATATTTGATCCATATATTTATCTGCTCCCTTCAGAGAACCCAATAACTAAAAGTAATGTCGATGTATTGATGCCCTAGCATTTACTTATTTTGTAAAAGATTTAAAGATGCATTTCAGTTAGCTGTGGAGACAAATCTATCAGAAGACGTCCTCTTAACGTGATTTTCACAATTATGCCTAGATGATTTGCCTGGATTTCCATATCAGTCTAATTGATGAATTTATTATTATTATTATTATTATTATTATTATTATTATTATTATTATTATTATTATTCCATTCAGAGCACACTTTCTTAATCAACAGAACAATAAATCTACTATATTTAAATATTCTATACACACACATATATATGCATGGATTGCCTACTTAATAGAAGGATAGGAAAAGGAATGATTCTTCATATATTACTGAGTTTCACCCTTCGCTTCTGTCTTGCTTTGTATTTTTCTGAGAATTTCTTTTGAATGTCAATAGCCTTTCATACAAGATTCTCTTTGAGGTTTTTCTTTCTTTTGTTTCTTACACTTGCAGTTATGTTTACAAGTACTTTAAATAATAATAATTTTATTTCGACTTTTAGGTAAATTCAATCCCGGGAGTAGGTACTTGATCACAGTTATAAACTTCAAAAAACACAACAGACACACATCTCAGCTGATACAGTGAGTATTCTAAATGATTTGGAAACATTATTAATTGTTATTTTATATTTATAAGGAATAAAGTTTAATGTATTCATGTTATCTTTTCACATCTTTGATGTTTTAGACATAGTGATTGTAACGTTTTGTCTTCTAGAAATGTTTTCTCGTACTTGGTAAACTTTTGAAAATTTCAAACCTTGTGTTCTACAAATTGAACCCATCACTACTTGCGGATTATCATTATTATTATTATTATTATTATTATTATTATTATTATTATTATTGTATTTCCTTTGATTTCTGGTGTTTACACATTTCTTTCCGGGTCCTGCCCAGAGACCTAAGTTTAGAAATGGCATCATGCCATTTTCCAATGACCAATTAAAAAACAAAAACACTGAAACATATTTTACATACATAAAACCCTTCGTAATTTTAGGGCTGTATTAGTGAGAAGATTTTTTTTGTATTTCTTTAAGGCATGGACTTCCAGGAATCCCTTCAATTGTCTACTGCAATCTTTTCCAACCAATCCGAGGGCGTTTATACCAATTTCTTTCATTTTACTCCTCGTAGAAGCTGCAGATCTTCCAGTGCCGGTTTTTATATTCAGTAGCCTGCCAGTACTGTGCAACAAGATGATCAATTGTTTATATTCAGTAGGTGCCTGTACTGTGCAACAAGATGATCATTTTTTCTGGATATTTATCACAGAATCTGCATTTTGGGCTAACACAATATTTTAGTATGTGTGCTTGATAATTTCTAGTTAATCCTGTGTAGCAAGTATAAAACCTTCCGTTTCGGTTTTTAACCGTGCACTTAGTGGATACTGATGAGTACGCGGTTTGTCTACATCAGTTTGTTTGGTACGGGCAGAGTATTGGCCATGAAGCGGCTTATCTTGCCATTGTTTCTGTATCTGGTTGGTTGCATTTGCCTTTGTTCTCTTTTTAAGTATTTTGCAGCTTCAGTCGGTGTACTGTGCTTTACTTGTATTTCTGCCCCTATTTGTAACTCCATTTTGAAATTGTTGGTTTCCTTTATTACAGAATAAAGACGCTTACTACTTTCATGTTCTTTGACACATATCATCATCCAGTCTTCTGTAGTTTACCGGTATCTTTGAAGCTAATTTTTGAGGTTTTGTAGGACAGTTCTAGTTGAACTAATCCTCTGCCACCTTCAAATCTAGGCGCATACAGAAGATCAACATGAGCTTTGGGATGATGCATGCAGTAGCAAGTGAGAAGCTTCCTCGTTTTGTCGTCCATTCGTTTGATGTCAGCTATTGTCCAATTAAGGATGTGTAAAGATTAAGGATGTGTATTGCACCGCAAGGACAGCCGAGGTGTTTATGACTAATATCTTGTATTTTGAGTTCAGCTCGGCATTTAGTACCAGGCGCACACGTCTGTAGTACTCCTTTCTTAGCTTCTCCTTCATTTGGGTATGTTGTATATCATCATCTTATTCTAATTCCCTAATCTTTGTGTCAAAGTCTAAATCTATTGAGGTTGTTTCTGTAATTCCCTTTTTCTTGAAGGGTACTTTTGCACATATAGCTAATCCAAAATTCATAACTATGTCGTCACTGAAGCATTTTACAATATTGATGAGGCCCTTCAACTCAGTGTCGTCTTTGGCAATGAGTTTGAGATCATCCAAGTAGATTATTATTAATTTCTTTGATTTCTGGCGTTTACACATTTCTTTTCGTGATAAAGCCCTTTGTAAACTGTGGGCTGTACTTGTCAGAACAATGTTTTGTATCTCTTTGAAGCATGGATTTCCAGAAATCCCTTCAATTAGTCTACTGGAATCTTTTTCAACCAATCCTAGGGCTCCAAATACAACAGGGATTGTTGATGTTCCCATATGCCACATTTCATTATTATTATTATTATTATTATTATTATTATTATTATTTTATTTCTGCTATGGACACACTACCTACCAAGTCTGCGGAAAGACCTAAGGCAGGTCGTGGTGTGTTGTTATGGCCACATTTCATGTTAATTTTTTTTTTTTTTTTTTTATCTCCGATGAAGTTGCTAGCGTTACATAGACAAAGTTCTCCTTAGTGTGTGTGCTGTACTTAATAAGACAATTTTCTGTATGTCTCTTAAGCTGGGGTTTCCAGGGATTCTTTCAATGTGTTGTTTTGTTCCATTTTTATAATTCCAAGTGCACCTATTACCACTGGTATTATTCTTGTTTTTCAATTTCCACATTTTTTCTATTTCAATTTCCAGGTCTTTGTATTTTGATAGTTTTTCAAATTCCTTGGTTGCTATGTTACAATCCGCTGGACAAGCCATATCAATTAGTAGGCAAGTTTTTTCTTTCTGGTTTTTGACAATAATGTCCGGCCTATTT